TTTACCCACTGCCTGGACAGACATTTCTGCCAACACAGTCCTTTGGGCAGCACAGCTCTGCAATCACAATGGCTGATCTGTAATGTCAGCAAAAAATGCTAACTGTGACAGTCACCTTTTCCTAAGATGGACTTTAAGCCTTTAATTCTACAGTTATCATGATCAGTTGCCATGAGTCATCGAGAACTGCAGTCATTTTTTATTTTTTTTATCAGAGTCATACTGAGCCCAAGGTCTCTTTCACAGATTAGCCCTAAATTACAGAAATTACAGAAATTACACACATCAATATCAATACAACATGCAAGCAGAAAGAAAAACACGGTCATGAAAAACCAACACATTCATCAGTAATAATAGTAGTAGTAATAATAATAATAATAATGATAATATTTTGGCATTTCATTAATGTATTGTTAATGGGGCAATAGGAGATCAAATCAGTGAAAACTAAGGCAGAGACGCTGTCCACAAAATTAGATTTCAGGATTTCATGGTGCATTTGTTTCCACTTAGCAAATTGAAAACACCTTTAGGTCTACATCACCATTACCTGACAAAAACATCTATCAACATTCATAAGCATTCTATCATCAAACTTAAAGTAACTGTCCAGGGAAAATCTCACTTTTAAAATCTCATAATCTGTTCACTCATACCCAAATAATGTTGTTGACTCGTCCTATACTTGTTATTGTGGCCAAAGCATAAATTTGAAGAAAAAAAAAACACTTCAAAAACGTATCTGAAATAGACCCGTTTAAAAAAAAATCTTGCTATTTCATCATGGAGGATGACGTCATGTTTTTGGCTGAGCTGGCCAATCAGCTGTTTACTTGTCATGAATAATTTTATTGACCGGTATACACCCACACCATTCAAACACAAAGCTGCTTTTTAACATACTTAGTTTCCCTTCCAAAATGTGGTCATTATTTCACTCATATTGTGATTAATTATAGATCATAGAAATATTTAATAGAAATCTGGAAACACTGGACAGCTACTTTAAACATACAATGGCAGTTGCACATAGACATCCTTTGCAGGTACTGTCATATGAACACAGTCTTAGAAATGCTAATGAATACCTAGGCTGTCATTACAGTGGGTATCATAAGTATTCATCCCCCTTGGATTTATTATTTTACAAAGTGGGATTGAAATTGATTTAATTGTGATTTTTTTGGGGGTCATTATTCTACACAAAATACTCAATGTCGAAGTGAAAATAATTCTACAAATGTTTACAAATTAATAAATATTTTATAACTCAAATATAGTCGTTGCATAAGTATTCACCCCCTTAATTAGTTCAGGAGTAACATTTGGCTTAATAAATTACATTGACTCTGTGTGAAATAATAGATTTGACATGATTTTTGAATGGCTACCCCTTCCTCTGTCCCCCATACAACATCTGTAAGGTGCCTCAGTCAAGTATTGAATTTCAAGCATAGATTAAACTACAAAGATCAGGGAGCTTTTAGAAAGCCTCAAAGAAGGGCAGTGATTGGTATATGAGTAACAATAACAAATCAGACATTGAATATCTCTTTAAGCATGGTCAAGTTAATAATTATGCTGTGGATGTATTAAACCACCAAGACACAACAGTCATTGTTCTGAACTGAGCTGCAGGTTAGGAAGGAAATGGGATGGAACTAAGCACAGGCAAAACCCTAGAGGAAAACCATCCAGTTTGCTTTCCGCAAGATACTGGGAGATAAATGCACCTTTCAGCAGGGCAATAAACTACAACACAAGGCCAAATCTATACTGAAGTTGCTTACCAGGAAGACAGTGAATGTTCTTGAGTGGCCAAGTTACAGTTGTGACTTAAATCTGCTTGAAAATATATGGCAATACTTCAAAATTGCTGTGTAGCCATGACCCCCAAAACCTTGACAGAGCTTGACGAATTTTGAAAAGAATAATGGTGTGGAAAGCTCTTAGACTAAACCAAGAAGACTCACAGCTGTAATCGCTGCAAAAATTGTTTCTAACATGTATTGACTTGGGGTGAATACTTATCTAATTAAGGTACTGTGTATTATTTTTCATTACTTTTTAAGAAATGTGTTTATTTTTTTCACTTAGACATTACAGAGTATGTTGTGTAGATCGTTGAAAAAAAATGACAAATCCATTTTAATCCCACTTTGTAAAGCAATAAAATGTGAAGAAATCCAAGGTGGCTGAAATACGTATGATATCCACTGAGTGTACAACATTCCTAATATTGAGTTGCATCCCCTTTTGCCCTCAGAACAGACTTAATTTGTCGGGCATGGACTCTACACGGTGTCAAGCGTTCCACAGGGATACTGGCCCATGTTGACTCCAATGCTTCCCACAGTTGTGTCAATTTGGCTGGATGTCCTTTGGGTGGTGGACCATTCTTGATACACACGGGAAATTGTTGAGTGTGAAAAACCCAGCAGTATTGCAGTTCTTGACACATTCAGAGGCATTTTCATCCACCTGTCAATCATCTATAATCCTTCTACAACCCTGAAAAGTACACACATTCTTGACGTACCTCAGGGAAATACAACCCAAGTGTTTTAGATTCAGTACATTCATAGTAAACATGTCAAAGACATCTTTTGTACAGCAGGCCCAATACTTCTCTCCTCCCGAGTCTTGCCAAATCCTGTGAGGTTTCTATAACAGATATATGGGTGCAATTTCTTCTTTGTGATTGATACTCTTTACAACTTACTTTCAACTCTGGAAAGCCATAATGGACTGCATCATCTGTGTCAGATTGTGGATTGAGATGTGATCATTACAGTTTATGATCAGAGCTGATTTTCTGTATTTCTTTACGTTTGTTTTCTCTAAACCGGAAATTGTGGGGGTTGATATTATCAGTGTTGGTAATTGTAATGGCAAAATATTTTTCCTGCTTGTTTGATGTATTCCTATACAGTCAGAAACCTTTGAGGCTATATAGTGTGGAGGAGTTTAAAAACCAAGACACAAGGTCAATATCTGGGTTGTCTCTACCTGAACTAGTTTTTTTGTTCATTATTATTCTCTCTTAACAGAGGCTTGGTCAAAACCCAGTTAAATATTATGCTTGCATGATATTCAACTTTATTGCATCACATAATGCTAAACTGCACCAACTTCCATGCTCCAAAACACCCCTTTCAATTGCAGTTATGTCCCTAACTAAAAATATATATATTTGGGAAACCGCAACGCTCTCCTCTCCTGTTCCTCCCAGCCTGGCTAAGTGTCTGTTAATCTGGGGCCCAGGTCAAGGCAGAAATGGACTTCTGACCTCTAGCCCAGTCTGACCAGTGAAGCGCAGACCTGGAATTCATAGAAAACTGTCTAGTACATCACCACCTAGGCAACTAACAAATAGCATAAACTGGACTAGAGGATAGCATAGCATTGAGGATCTATTCATGCAGCCAGACAACAACAATGGTGGTGACCAAAATCCCAGTGATTAAGTGAGTGTGGCCTTTCTGTTGCCTGGCCCCCCACTGGGAGAGTTTCGAGAGGATAAGGAACGGTTAACCCAGGGAGATTAACTCCTATCTATCTACTGAGGCCAAAATGGTGGCTCGTCCTCTGTCTCTGTACCCCAGTTTGGTATTTTCATTGGAGCCCTTGTGTGATGAGATGAATAGAGCTGATTACATTTACTGTGTTTCAAATGCCAACGATCGACAGGCTCCTTCACACGCTTAACCTCTTGGTTGGAATGAAATAGTTTATTTAATGGTTGATGATCACAGACAGAGTATGCTTTACCTCTTTTTTTCTTTCCCCTTTAATGTTTTGACACAATGTTAATTTATTCATGGAATATATTTCTGAAGCAATGCTTTGTTCTCTCTTGCTAGATGATTAACTATGTTGATGTGGCTTTTAAACATAATTTAGCGTGATGTTCAGCAATATGGATGAATTGCAGTTAAAATCCTGGTAAGCAGGTATGGGCTAGTGATATCATGTAAATGCTCTGTTTGGTCGGAATTATAAATTTTCTCAAATATTTAGTTGGTTCTTCACTGAATTACATGTTGTGTCATGTTGTTTTGGACAGTCAATGTTATATCTTTTGGAGGTTATTTCTCTCTCTTTCTTTTCACCCAAATTACCTCTATTTTTGAAGCCAAGAGGAAGCTCCTATCTTGCGTTACCATTACTATTTTGGTCTCTCACTTGAAATCCATTTGAAAAAATTAAATGTTATTTATATGGCATCTGTCTCTCTTGTTTGAAAGCAAATCTCAAGTATTTTCTACAAAAGCAAATGTCATTTTTATTTACAACAGTAAATCAACATGTCAAATTTAAACAGTGTACAGCGGTTTAAGGGTGGCAATCCATTAGAAATCCAGTTCCCATTTACTCTGCTGCTGATGTCGACTAAGCTGTTGTCATGGAGGACATCATCTCATGGCTCAAGTCATCATCCACTGTACAGCTCAGTCTCCACATTTTTCTTTCCATGACATAATATGGAATCAACAGGCTTGATATGGCTTATGACGAACTAAGAAAATACAACAACCAATGTTAGTTCCATGGTCCCAGTTCCTTGGTGATTCTCTATAGTGAGGGAAAGACAGTAAGATTTCACTCAGTCCAGTTGTCTTGTCTACAACCATGGAACTTCTGTTACTTTTTCCTGTAGTCTCTCTCCCGACTGTTTTTCTCTGTGCTTACCGGACTGGTCTCTCTCTATTCCTATCACTGTCCCTGTCTTTCTCCCTGGCTCTATTCCTATCATTGTCCCTGTCTCTATTCCTATCACTGTCCCTGTCTTTCTCCCTGGCTCTATTCCTATCACTGTCCCTGTCTCTATTCCTATCACTGTCCCTGTCTTTCTCCCTGTCTCTATTCCTATCACTGTCCCTGTCTCTCTTCCTATCACTGTCCCTGTCTTTCTCCCTGTCTCTATTCCTATCACTGTCCCTGTCTCTATTCCTATCACTGTCCCTGTCTTTCTCCCTGTCTCTATTCCTATCACTGTTCCGGTCTCGCTCTCTGTTCCCCTCATTGTCCCTCTCTCTTTCTTTCTCCCTAGTTCTGTCTCTTGCTCTATCCCTGTCTTGGTTTTCTCCCTCCTCCCTGCCTGTCCTCTTGCTCTCCAACTGCAGTCCTCCATCTCTCCTCTCCCCCATCCCATCTCTCCTCTTCTCATCCTCCCTGGACCTATCCCTCTCCCCGTCCCGTTGGTCTCCATGGCGATTTCGGAACCCTCCGTCCTCCTGCCTGTGTGTGTCTCGGGGGTTCCGTGGCTCTGCCCCAGGCCCTGGTCTCTCTTCCCTGGACCCCAGCCGCACCTCTACCGCCCCCCGCTGGCTGTACTTGTCATAACCCAGGTCTTCCTTCTCCTGCTTCATTCTCACTGTCAGGGCAGGCCCAGGGGGAGTCTGGGCCAGCCTCTCCCTCTGCTGCCTCTCCTCCTTTAGAGCCGCCTTCTCCTTTTTCTCCTTCTTTTTCTTCTTCTCTTTCTTGTCTGGGTTGGAGATGAAAGGAAAGACTGATTGAGGTCAGGTAAGAGCAGATGATACGAACATGACTGAGACACCTATTTGAGATACACTGACAGCCAATTAAAGTCTACTTTAGTCAAAACTTCTCTAGGAATGACAAGCAGCAGACATGTACCATCTAGGCCTCCAGTAGTCTCCCCTCACCTTTCTTGGGCTTCTTCACTGGTACAGCGTACTGTTCCTCCTCTTCTTCGGACTCGGAGGATGAAGGGTCGGGTAGTTTGGGGGCACAGCCCTCCTCCCTTAGGCGCTTGGTGATATCGTCCATGTCCTCATTGTCTTTGGGAGGGCGGTAGTTCAGCACGTGGTCCACTCGGATGGTCCGCCCCTTTATCTAGATGCCAAGAGAGAGAGAGACACAAATAGCAACACAATGAAATGAGGTACAGTAATTTACAAGTATTTTGCCAGTCACAAAGCGTTTGGATCGTCTAACCTTCATTTATGCATGTTTACTGGTTTAGTCTCATAAAATGTATTTCTCTCTTGTTCTCTCTCAGCTGTGAGTGATTGCTGTTCATTACCTTGATCCCGTTTAAGTTATCCACAGCCAGGATTGTGCTCCTCTGGTCCTCGTAGCAGATGAAGCAGAAGCCTTTGGATTTACCCGTCTTCTTATCACGCACCAGGTTGATGTTGGCTATCTCTCCATACCTGCAGACACACATTAAGCAGGATAAAAATCAATCTAATGCAGAGAAAAAAACTATTGATTTATTCAGAATGAAAAGGGGGAAGGTTAAGAGGGAAGAGTGGAAGATAAGGATGGAAAGAGACATGCAATTGGATAAACAAGAGACAGAAAGGACAGGGGGAGAGAAGGGTGGGTGAGTGAGTAGAGAGATGGGAGGAAAGGGTATATGTATTGGCCTCACTGAGAGAAGACACAGACGATGTCACCTTCCGTCAGCTCATATGGAAACCCACCTGCAGGTTACAACAGAAACACCAAGGTCAAAAACAGGCTTATAACTCTGGTGGTGAGAGACTAGAGGGCAAGCCACTGACTGTGAATAAACAAGCCAATACTTTGCTGCCACCAACTGGTGAGCTGCCAGTACAACCTAAACACCAACCTTCTGGCTGTTAGTATGGTGTGGAGAGATTATAATACAACGGTTTGGCTCAATCCTTTTCAATCGCAGAGGTGTCTCTGGCACCGCCTCTTACCGATGAAGATCCAGGCGCTGTCCTTGTACTCAGAGTGCCATGACACCGTCTCTTTGACCCCCAGTGAGGCCTCTCTCTCATTCAGCTCATTGATCAGCTTCACCTTGGTCAGGGGACTGCAGGACGGGAGGAGGGAGAGATGGAGAGGGACAAAATAATAGAGTTTAACATGCAATAGAATACAGAACTTTCTCTCTGCTGATCCTGTCTTGACTCTTTTCTTGACCATCCATGGCCAAGCTTTTTTTTTTACCCCATGAGTAACTACATACCATCTGACTAGCTAGCTAGCAGCTATTATGAATAGTATGGTGTATTTATATAACGTTAACATTAGTAACAGTGGCAAATTATTAGCAAGATAATGTTAGCCATGTTGACTGATGTCCAAGTAAAGTTAGTGGCTGGCTAGTTAGCTTGCTAGCTAGTTAGATATCTTCACATGATCACTATTAACATTACACCTACGCGAGTAACTAGATAATAGGTACAGTCGATACAAAATGTACAGCACATAGTCGGTCACTTATACTCACTTCATTATAAAGTTATCTTCATGAACATAAACGCGATTCTAACTTTAAAATGGAGATCCCATTTGTCACTTTAGTTAGCTACCACAGTCACAAAATCAAAATTGACTATATCGTACAAATTAATGTGGGGAAAAAAGCTTTTTGGTCGTAATTTAAGGTTAAGGTTAGGCATAAGGTTAGCAGTGTGGTTAAGATTAGTATTAGGTTTAAAGCCAGATTTTAAGAAGAGAAATTGTATAAATAGGCGGGGTTTAGCCATAATTATGACTTTGTGGCTGGGGTAACTAGTGATGACCGGAGTTCCCCGACCAACTTCCGTTTTCGGCGCGTCAGACTAAGTGGAGGGGTTTGTGGGAGGAGTAGTTCAGAGGAATGTTTCCTTCTCAGTAGACAAACCTCAGACAAACTTGTATGTACGATCAAATTCTTTCTTCCAAAAGAGTCCTGCCGAAAAAATGTTATTCAATTCCAAGAGTATTTTTTGATTCAGCAAAAGTTTGCTTCAACGATAAAAAACTGGCCTACACTTTTATCATCTCTTCTCTTTATGAAATCGACTTTTATAGCACCATCATCCCTCATATAAAATCAAATCAAATGTTATTGGTCACATACACATATTTAGCGGATGTTATTGCGGGTGTAGCTAAATGCTTCTGTTCCTAGCTCTAACAGTGCAGTAGTATGAAAAATTAATGCACTCACTAACTGTAAGTCGCTCTGGATAAGAGCGTCTGCTAAATGACTAAAATGTAAAATGTAAATATAAACATTGGGTTGTAATTTTGGCCTTCCTGTAGCTCAGTTGGTAGAGCATGGCGCTTGCAACGAAAGGGTTGTGGGTTCGTTTCTCACGGGGGGCCAGTATGAAAAATGTATGCACTCACTAATTGTAAGTCGCTCTGGATAAGAGTGTCTGCTAAATTACTAAAATGTAAAAAATGTAAAATGTATCTAACAATTCACAACAATACACAAATCTAAAAGTAAAGAATGGAATTAAGAAATATATACATATTAGGACGAGCAATATCGGAGTGGCATTGACTAAAATACAGTAGAATAGAATACAGTATATACATATCAATCAATCAATCAATCAATCAAATTGTATTTATAAAGCCCTTTTTACATCAGCAGATGTCACAAAGTGCTATACAGAAACCCAGCCTAAAACCCCAAACAGCAAGCAATGCAGATGAGACGAGTAAAGCAGTATGTAAACATTATTAAAGTGACTAGTGTTCAATTATTAAAGTGGCCAGTGATTCCATGTCTATGTATATAGGGCAGCAGCCTCTAAGGTGCAGGGTTGAGTAACCGGGTGGTAGCCGGCTAGTGATGGCTATTTAACAGTCTGATGGCCTTGAGATTGAAGCTGTTTTTCAGTCTCTCGGTCCCAGCTTTGATGCACCTGTATCAGTGAGTGTAATTGTATTGCCTAGATAAATAAGTGCTTAAATGACAAGGAGGTGCCCATGAATGAATAATAATTCAAACATTCTGTCATTTATTTGAAATAACAAACACTCAAACAATACCTACCTCAAATCAAGGTTTTATATTGCCACTATAGTACCGTAACAACAATAAAGCAATTCTTCATTGACTCAAAGAGAGTAAATCATTTGGAAATAATGTAAAATGTTGGCAATAAAACGTAACACACATTTCCCATGTACCTCCTGAATGGAGGTAATAATACACACTACTTTCATAAGAAATTACCTTGTCCAGAAAAGTTTTATTTTTGTTTTTCATATCATCACTAACTGATCAGAGAACAACCATTTGTACACAAAACAAGCTGTTCCACTTCAAAAAGACCTACAGCTACTTGCAGTGGTGATTTTAGCATGTCAATCTTGGTGGGCCCCCCAAAAAAAACATGTGGGATGCATGCCAGCAAAGCCACTACACAACACAACACTAACCACAAACTGTTAGGGCCTACATAAATCTATCCCAACAGCAGCGTCCCAAGAGCAGTCCCAACACCTTACACTCTAAAAAGAAAAGGTTCCTGGAGTATCCTTTAGGGGTTCTTCAAATTGAAACTGTGGGGGAACCCCTATAAGTTCATTGAAGAACCCTTTTAATGGATCCTCTAATAACTTTTTGAAGAAACTTTTGGGGTTAGTTATTATTATTTATTATTATTAATACGCATAACAATAACACAATATTTTAGTTGTCAGTGTTTATTATGATTTTAGTGGCAAAGCAGAATATATATATATATTTTTTTTTTATGAGGTAAACTCCCAGCAGAGTCCCAAGTCCAATGGGTATATCCTCTGAAGTGTTGATGTTAATGTGTTGAAGTTCTCCGTATCCATAGCTAGAATGATTTTGCAGTGCATGGTGATCGAACAGGTTTTCTGTATATTCATCAAAGGTGTAGGGAGGGTGAAGTCTGTGAATCCCAAAAAAAGTAATTATACAGATGTTTAGCAAAACATGCACATGACAGTATTCATACCTTAGTTTTTGTGGTAAATGTGAATGAAAAAACTGTTTTGATAATGGTTTCATACACATACAGTTGAAGTCGGAAGTTTACATACACCTTAGCCAAATACATTTAAACTCAGTTTTTCACAATTCCTGATAATTAATCCTAGTAAAAATTCCCTGTCTTAGGTCAGTTAAGATCACCACTTTATTTTAAGAATGTGAAATGTCAGAATAATAGTAGAGAGAATGGATTATTTCAGCTTTTATTTCTTTCATCACATTCCCAGTCGGTCAAAAGTTTACATACACTCAATTAGTATTTGGTAGCATTGCCAAACGTTTCGGGTAGCCTTCCACAAGCTTCCCACAATAAGTTGGGTGAATATTGGCCCATTCCTCCTGACAGAGCTGGTGTAACTGAGTCAGGTTTGTAGGCCTCCTTGCTCGCACACGCCTTTTCAGTTCTTCCCACAAATGTTCTATAGAATTGAGGTCAGGGCTTTGTGATGGCCACTCCAATACCTTGACTTTGTTGTCCTTAAGCCATTTTGCCACAACTCTGGAAGTTTGCTTGGGGTCATTGTCCATTTGGAAGACCCATTTGCGACCAAGCTTTAACTTCCTGACTGATGTCTTGAGATGTTGCTTCAATATATCCACATAATTTTCCTTCCTCATGATGCCATCTATTTTGTGAAGTGCACCAGTCCCTCCTGCAGCAAAGCACCCCCACAGCATGATGCTGCCACCCCCGTGCTTCACGGTTGGGATGGTGTTCTTCGGCTTGCAAACCTTCCCCTTTTTCCTCCAAACATAACGATGGTCATTATGGCCAAACAGTTCTATTTTTGTTTCATCAGACCAGAGGACATTTCTCCAAAAAGTACGATCTTTGTCCCCATGTGCAGTTGCAAACTGTAGTCTGGCTTTTTTATGGCGGTTTTGGAGTAGTGGCTTCTTCCTTGCTGAGCGGCCTTTCAGGTTATGTTGATATAGGACTCGTTTTACTGTGGATATAGATGCTTTTGTACCTGTTTCCTCCAGCATCTTCACAAGGTCCTTTGCTGTTGTTCTGGGATTGATTTGCACTTAATGCACCAAAGTACATTCATCTCAAGGAGACAGAACGCATCTCCTTCCTGAGCGGTATGACAGCTGCGTGGTCCGATGGTGTCTATACTTGAGTACTATTGTTTGTACAGATGAACATGGTACCTTCAAGCATTTGGAAATTGCTCCCAAGGATAAACCAGACTTGTGGAGGTCTACCATTTTGTTCTGAGGTCTTGACTGATTTATTTTTATTTTCCCATGATGTCAAGCAAAGAGGCACTGAGTTTGGTAGGCCTTGAAATATATCCACAGGTACACCTCCAATTGACTCAAATTATGTTAATTACCTATCAGAAGCTTCTAAAGCCATGACATCATTTCCTGGAATTTTCCAAGCTGTTTAAAGGCACAGTCAACTTAGTGTATGTAAACTTCTGACCCACTGGAATTGTGATACAGTGAATTATAAGTGAAATAATCTGTCTGTAAACAATTTTTGGAAAAAGTACTAGATGTCCTAACCGACTTGCCAAAACTATAGTTTGTTAACAATACATTTGTGGAGTGGTTGAAAAACAAGTTTTAATGACTCCAACCTAAGTGTATGTAAACTTCTGACTTCAACTGTACCTTGTCCATATTGTAGAGGCCTATGGGATTTTCATTGAAGAGGTAAGGGAGGAGGATGGTACATGTGATCTGCATAACATACCAATACCAATTGACATACCTTTGTATGCCTCCTCGTCTGTATACCTGCAGACACAGACACAAAAGTGAGCAGTTCAGTCATCTGCACCCAATACAGCTAGCCTTCATATTCTTATAGCATACATATTCTTACCTCTTTGTTGATTGATATACATTGAATTGTGTCCATTTTCTGTTTCAGAAAGATTTGCACAAATATGACAATTTAGATGGTATCATCATAAAACAATATCAATATAGATCATATAAGGGACAAACCTTACCTTAAATTGAGGAGATCTTTACATTGTTCAGTTAAGTGCCTACACCTGCTGTCCTTTCAAATTCAAATCCAAATGTTTCAGTTGGGTTCCTGCAAGAACCCCCACCAACTAAGGAGGTTCCTGGATTAACCCCACCTCCTATGGGGTTCTTGGAAGAACCTTTTGGGGGCAATGTTCAGTACCAATAACCCTAAGGTTCTTCAAAGAAC